ACAACCAGGGGCACGAGGAGAGCAGACCCCTTCTGTAGAGGAGATGATCAAATACATGCTCAATGATGATTACAAAGGGACTAGGACTATTCTACCTCATCTACAGAGGGAAAACATTCATTGACGCCTATGTAATTTCTCCCTTTAAAGTATGAATATATAGGCTACCGCAAACGAGATTTACCTTTTTAAGCTTAATTACTGAATCTGATAGTGGCGGTTGTTAACATAAAATGACCCTGATTAAAAGAGAAATTGCCCTTCGTATCTTCTTTTCTGCCCGTCGAAGGCGCAACATTTACTGTGACATCACCCTTTTAGTATGAATGGTGGCATAATTGGGAGAGGAATCTCACCTCTACCACCTTCAGAGGGAGTAGCAGAGGCATTACAGAGACGAGACAGGATCGGAGGAGCCAGCACGGAAGAGAACAGCGGTGTGTATGTGGAGCTCCAGCTGTTTCTCTAAGTCGTGCTTCTGCTCCACCATAAAGCACTGTGAATTCACACACTGGAAAACCAATATTATGCCATTGTGGAAATCAGTATGAATGTACAAAGACGGAATGATTGCAGCTTTCTTATGACGCTGATGTTGAAACGCACTCTGTAAAGGGCTACGGTGACGTTTCAAGGAGTGCATGTGTGAAAGGGGGTTTAGTCCTAGTCTTAGGCAAGTCATTGTTTTTCTTAAAAGAGGAGTGACTCATTTGAACGGATTGATCCCAAATGTCCAAGGCAGTCAGGAAGCTGAGCTTAGACATTACAAAGTGCCTTCAGATTCCCTTCAGACACAACAAAATGAGCGTCAACCAGTATAAATTGCAGGAAAAAATGCATGTCCCTTAATTACAAAATAAACTTTTATGTATAAAATTAAATAGCAACTGGTCAGAGCCACATAACACAGTGCACACTGGATAAGAATCAATGATCAGAGAGCATGAGCTTTTGAAAGGATTGAGCATTTAGTTGATGTAGAAGCTTTTTTTCAAATCAGGAAGAGGAGGTTTGAATGGTGAATGCTGAATTAAGACTAAAGATGTTACATAGAGAAATATGTTTATGTAACTAATGTTTGCTCAGCACAGGTTCTCAAGTGAAAAATAAATGTAAATGAATAAAGACAATGGGTGCATGAATGGAGGTGCAGAGCGAGTGAGATGGAGGAGGGTGCTGTGTGTGAGGAGTTAACACTGCTCAGGTGTGTGTATAATGTCTGTGTGCAGAGAGAGAGAGAAAGGCGAGATAGTAGCAAACAGGGCAGCTATCAAAAGCCACAGGCTGCTTTAAACTCCATCTCTGTTTCTTCTACTCTCTTATTCTTTTCTCTCTTTTTTTTCTCTTATCGGCCTCTACCTCTGTCCTCCCTCTCTCTCTTGCACTCTCTCTCTCTCTCTCTCTCTCTCTTGCTCTCTCTCGCTCTCTCTCTCTCTGTGCTCCCTGGCCATGCTGATGATTGACGGCCTGAGGGTTTTAATGGGCACTGGAGAGCAGGAGCTGAGGTCGGGGTTGTCATGGCAACTAGGAGAAGGGGCCTTTTGCTGCTGCTTCACCTGAGTACTGTGGAGCCTTGTTGGCTGGTGGAGGCAGGCAGCCACACACACACACACACACACACACACACACACACACACACACACACACACACACACACACACACATATATACATACACAAACGCACACACACGCTGGTCACGCATACTTACATGCCAGCACCACTTCCATTCACTTTTTCTACTCACGGTGAGATGCCCTGCCGTTCATCCTGCTACCTCTGGCCTCTCTCTTCCTTTTCACATTTTCATTCCCCCTTTTTTTTCGTTTCTCTGTTTATCCCTCAGTAGGTAATGCTCAAGCCATGACTGGTTTACTCAGTCTGTGTGTGTGTGTGTGTGTGTGTGTGTGTGTGTGTGTGTATACGACATTTAGCTATAGTGCCATGCCATAGTTCTATCACAGCTCATAATCACACAGTTTACAGGTTCCTTTTGAGGTTAAAGTGTCCCTTTGTGTTTTTCAGAGATCATTCTTAGTCGTATACTGGTACATTGATTTCCTATTGGGTTTCAGTAGTACAAGATTGAGTAAAACACACCTATACCGGATATTGGTCGAATAATTTGTTAACACACCTGAGTGCAGGATGAGTCATCAGATATTTGAACATTTTAAAGGTAGAGAAAATACAGTTATTCTAATGTAAACATACTCCACTAGTGCTTTATTGATATATATTTGACAAATAAAGGCAGATAGAGAATAAGCATTTAACACAAGAACACTGGATTTAACAAGGAAAAATATTTTTTTCATTTGGCGAGACTCTAAGACACCCCATTACAGTTTATACACCAGCGTATTAGACATGACCAGAAGTGTAATTCTACAATTCATTTAGCAGACGCTTTCATCCAAAGCGACGTACATCAGAGAGTACAACACAAGCAAGGATCTAGATAGAAGGAAACAATGTCAGTAAGTGCGAACGAACAGCTTTAGTTCTGACAGGCAATGCACAGGAAAAGCACAACATTGACTGCTGTTTGTCAGAGTTCTAATCAGCATCAAAAGTATACTAAAATCGTCATTATCAAACAAAACCATCATCATCATCATCATTATCGTCATCAGTAATACCATTAAGTGAGTAGGTGTTCATGAAAGAGATGGGTCTTTAGCTTTTTCTAAAAGGTGCAAATCGAATGGTGTTTGTAAGTTCGTTTTACCACCAGGGGGCGACAGAGAAGAAGAGTCTAGTGAAAGACTTAGGACCCTGTTGGGAAGGTAGGATCAGATGCTTTCATTGGCAGAGCGCAGTGGGCGGGAGGGATTGTAGACCTGGATTATAGAGTTTAGGTAAAGAGGAGCCGTTTTTGTTGCTGTTTTGTAAGCGAGCTGCAGGGTTTTAAATTTGATGCGATCAGTAACTGGTACCCAGTGTAGGGAAGTGTAAGACAACCCTAACAGGTAAAGAACATCACCTACCAATCGGCCATTGGATAAAGGACCCCTTCGCACACACACACACACACGTTTTTATCTTTCTATGACTGTTTGTGATTTGAACTGGTCCTGGGTTTGGTCTCAGTGGCTCTTTTTTTACAAATAGATTCTACAACAGCACTATGAAGCACCAATGTAATGTTAGGTTTACCAACGCTGCCGGCTTAAAGGAATCTTGACTTGTGTTTAAGGTTTCCCCCTGCTGTAATCAAATGGTTTAATATGATATCAACATTATGAATTATTTTTGAGGGGCATTTAGCTGTATTAGTCTTTACCTTCTACTTTGGTAGATATGTACACACATCACACAGACACACACACACACACACACACACACACACACACACCTCCGAGAAGAACATAAGCATCTACACTAACTGTGTCCGACTCCTGTGGATACATCCATAGTCCCACTCCGTAGGTCTCTCATGATTTGTTAAGAGGCTCACAGATTCACACACCCTGAACCACCACCTACGAGTGCAGTGTGATTGAATGTGTGTGTGTGTGTGTGTGTGTGTGTGTGTGTGTCCTGACTCCTGCCTTCCTGCTTGTCCATGGCCCCGGGGCCTGTTAGTTAGTGTCTGGGCACTGCGGGTCAGCCGACGGATGGAGGGATTGTTTGCTCTGGAAGTGAGTGAAGCTCTTGTTACGTGGGGGGAGGGGCTGGAGGAGAGTGATGTGTGTATGTGGATTTCATCGAAGGCTGTAATAGTTCAGTCGTAAAAAATTTTCATGTAAAAAATAAAAACTTTGACAAAACACTTCTGTAGTTCAATTATGGTTGTGCAACAAGCCCTGGCTTCCCTGTATAAGACCTATTAGGCTCCACATCCCCATAACTGAAAATCTTTTCTTTGGGTGACTGTTTTGCTCCTCACATCACGCTAGCCATGTGTGAATGTTGAGCTCTGACAGAGCAGTTATGACCGAACGCTAACAGTCTGCCTCACCGCCTCGGAAGAAAACCAAAGACTGTCACATCTGTCATCTCCCCTATCAAAAAATCGTAATAATTAGGAGCAAAAACAACGGAAATGTTGGCTAAAATATATATTTAAAGGCAATATCCAAACAGGGTGTTGCATGCAGGCATAAAGAAAGCTTTTTATAAATACAAATTCTGCTATGCTGATTTGCTGCTCAGAGTTCCACAAAATCTTCATAAGCAAAATAATAGCTGCTTCAAGTCCCTCAAAAGTTTGACCCAATGAATTTTGAGCCACATTTGTCAATAAATAAAAAAGTATAAAATAATTAGATAAGCATGATAAGAACTTTAGGCAGAATCTATGTTAGAAAAAAACTATTTTGACATTATACTTTGACATCCTGTTTGTTAACATGTAGGAGGCGGGGCTTTTGACCTATACTGCTGACAGTCAGCAAAGGGGCTCCACATGTTTTGGCTTCACTTTTGGGGAGTGGTCATATCGTTCATCTTCTTATACTTTCTATAGTTTTTGACATTGGGGAATATTGTGGTTCACTCAGAAGGTTGTTTAAGAAAACCAATTGCACATTTTCACGTAGTTTTGATTGGTCGTTTGGAACATGATTCTATGCATTTGAATCCTTGTGGTTGTAACTCTACCTCTTTTGAGACTTCATATATATTCATCATCAGCTCATTCTGAAAAAAACATATTGATATATCTGTCTGTTCTGGTCAGACGTTGCAGCATTCAGACTTGTACAAAGTCTTTCAGTTTTTCCTAATGTGCATCTTGTTTAGATAGTTTTGTGTATACAAATCACAAATCGCTCCGTCAAGATAATCACTGTTTCATCAGTTGACTGTAATTGCCCTGTTTGTTACCAATTTAGCAAGTGAATAAAACGTTTGAATTTGTGCAACATAAGTAATGCTCATCATAACTCTTTTATTGTTATACTCAGTCAATAAAAATATTTTCTAACACCTTTCAGATCGCTGTTGCTCCATCTAACATGAGGATTAAATTATTTTTATTTTTTTTATTTTTTTCAGAGTGCGGCTGCTGCTCCCAGTCCAGTAATGGGCAACATGCCACCCAACGACGGCATGCCAGGAGGACCCATGCCCCCGGGCTTCTTTCAAGTAAGAAAAAAGGAACTTTCTAGCTGACTTCATCCCCTTACCCGCCCCCAACTTCACCCATTGCACAGCCCCTCCCACAGCCATAACTAAGCCTATCCTTCTGTCTCCTCCTCCTTTTTTAGCCTCTTTAGCCGTCCTAATCCCTGTCCAGATGTGTTCCCTCCTCTGTCTCTCTGCCTCTGTCCCATATGTCCAAGCTCAGGCTGTCAACGCCTGTGCTCTGTTTGACAAAACTAACTGTTTTCTTAAGAGTTTGTCTGCTACCTTTATCTGCCGATATATGAAATGTTGCCTCAGTGAAAGTTATAGTGGAGAAAAGAGAAGAGGACAGGAGAGGAGAGGATAGGAGGCTATTTTCTCTGGTTTGTGTTGCTTCACTAATTCCTCCTGTCATCACTGTTCTCTGAAGGCTGTCTCAGAGGCTGACGAGGTCACACACACTCTCTCTCTCTCTCTCTCTCTCTCTGTGTTTCCATCACTCTCTCCTTTCTCCCTTGTACACAAACATGCAAGCACGCAAGCCTAGTTTGACAGTTTGATATACATTAAACTAGTGACACTTTCAGATTTGAGGTTTTAAAATGTCTGCAACCTCTGAAGATATTCACTCGAGTGGCAGAGGCGAAAAGGGAAATGAAAACTGTATTCTCATAGAGCTGTTGAATTACTTATGATACTTCGTAATTGCTGAAAAAAAAAATCAGATTTCTTCATCTTCTATTAGTACCAGTGCAGGTTTTTAAGAGAACTAACATGTCTATTAAAGTAATGGAATGATATCTGGCTGCGTCTTTTGAGGGAGCAATACAAGCTGAGGTCTTTTGATTGAAGAGATCATTCCATGAACAGATCAGTCAAGTTGATCTCATATTAGTTCTTAAGCAAAACTCTACACCTGTGACATCCTATGAGCATTTAAATCAGCAGTTCAACAATTCAGGAAAAAAGCACATTTGCCTTTGTGGTACATTTAAAGATGTCTGCAATATAATGTACAGTTTGATTGGCAGCATTTGGTGTTGTACAGTCGGCATGTTGATGTGTGCCCAGTTTGCTCGTGTGTGTGAGTGTGTGCGTGTGAGTGTGTGTGTCTGTGTGTCTGTGTGTGTGTGTGTGTGTGTGTGTGTGTCTGTGTGTGCATGCAGCGGTCGTAGAGAATGTTAATGATGTATGAGCAGGCCAGGGAGAGAGCTATCTGATGGTTTTGCATGAGTGACATTGCTTTCCATAAATAGACCCTGTGTGCTGCAGATAGACAGACAGACAGACAGACCGACAGATAGACAGGATGAGCAGAGAGGAGAGAAATATTCACTCTCTTTTATTCAGTCTGTGCTTAGCTCAGCTAATCAGAGCAGCAAAGCGGGCAAAGGTAAAGAAAGCAAAAAAAACTGTCAACATAATGCGGCACAACAGAAAATATTCTCTCTACCTTTTCCAAACTTTACATCACATTCTCTTAAATCAAGTACAGGACAGGGTTCCCAGAACAGCAGCATATGTAAATGTGTGTCCATATGGCATTTTTCAACCTTCAGCCAGCATTAAAACCACACACACTGCTGAGGTAGCTGCACTCCCTGGTGAATCTAATGTTTGCGGTCTGCGCTGAAAGTGCAGGCTGCTGACTTTTCTGCAGTTCATTTAATCATTCAGGTGAAGGGGGCGCAATTTTTTTTTTTTTGTGTGTGTGTGTGGGATCTTTCCCTCCTCCATATTTTTTATTCTAACACTGTTAAGTTTCCACAATTGTAGTGTGCAAGAGTACAAAGGATTCAAAGCAAAACAATATGTTTATGTTTTCTATCGCGAATGATTACATCCACTAAAAGGAGGTATTTTTTGTGCTTTAATCATTTAACTTCCGATCAGCCTCTTTTAACCATCTTTTCCCTCTCCTCTCTCCTTCACATGCCCAGCCTCCTTCTCCATGACATTTCATCACTCTCTCCATTTCCCTTGTCTTTGAAACTATTATTTTCTCGCTCTCACACACTCTGCTTTAGTGACACATGCTTACTCACCGACTCAGACGTGTGTGTGTGTGTGTGTGTGTGTGTGTGTGTGTGTGTGTGTGTGTGTGTGTGTGTGTGTGAACTGTTCTAGTGTGCTTTGTGAGTGTGTCTGTGCTGCAGAATTCTTCCAATTTGCACTAGCAGGGTAATTAACATAGGTGACCCCAACACTGTTATTGGCTACAGTCCTAGGAGGGAGGGATGAGGGGGGCAAAAAAGACGGACAGTGGAGGGAAAAGGAGATGTAGGGAAGAGGAGGAGGGCGTCTGCTTCCATGCTCCCCTGATCTGTAGCTGTATAGGACGAGCTGGATGTTTGGAATGTATAGGTGGGGAGACAGAGGAAAAGAGCAGAAACAGCAGGGAAAGTCTGTGTGAGTGTGAAAATCTCTATACATTGGGGTTGGTAATCTTCCTCTCCTCTCAAAGAAAGTCCATTGCTGCTGCATCATGGCCCTCTGGGAAGGACAAGCAGAGGGGGAGATGAGGGGGGCCAGTTGGGAGGAGAGTTAATGACAGAGAGATGGAGGAAAAGAAAGCAGAAAGTGGAGGAGAGGAGAGGACACTGAGACATCAGGGAAGTCCTTTAGAAATGGTCCCCTTTCTCTTGCAAAGAGAAAGCTGACAATAAACAGATAATTCATTCACCAATAAAGATGGAAATTGAAAATATCAAACAAGATTTTTATCAAGTAATTGAGGAAATTTTTTAAAAAAGCACTGCATAAATAGGAGTGTTAGGCTTTAGTCTTCGGGAAAGCAAGTGAGATCAAATCTGCTATTTAGAGATTTTTATGCTCCATCTGTCAAATAATCCCTCTTTGTTGACCTTATTATCTGATCTACACACGCTACGCCAGGTACAAGGAAAAACTTAATGCGCTCCATTAAATCTGTTAACCAGTTAGGGTTGGGCAGTCCTCTTTCTTTTTTCTACTGAAATGGCTCTTCATGCCAAAATAATGATCCAAAGTCAAGGGCAATATGTTTTTTACTGCAGGTTATCGCATCTCGTTAGGGACAACAGCAGGTAAAAAAAAAAAGCAAGGCAAGAGGATGAGATTTGATTAAACGTTTAAGAACAAGCAACCCAGGTATCAAAGGCAAAATTTAAGAAGCTGTTCAAAGCTGACACATGGCAGCGACAAGTGGAATAAGGGAGACACCTGCTCACGGTGTCTTTATCAAAGGTATTTGATCTCAGGGTGGCTTGTGGTCAGTTGATGAACAGAGATGCAGGTAATTAACATGCTGGTAGCTTTAAAAAAAAGTGATGCTTAAAGAAAGGTGGTTTGGGTCAAAGGTTTGTGTTGTTCTCTTAGTATAGTGTGTGAGCGATTGTTTACATCTTGGGTAACAAGGTGGTTTTCATTGACACAGAACAGCACACATTTCCCAAACTACATATATAACAATGATTTTAACTTCTCATGAACCAGTCAACAAATGACACCAAAAGAAAGCTTTGTTAGGCATTTAAATCTCCTTTTTTTTTTAAATCAAATCTGAAGTACCGCCGTGAATACCAATCCAGGAAAAGACAGACGAGATTGTGCAGGTAAAACTTTTCACTTGTGCTTGAACCTTTTGAGCAGACTTACTGCCTTTGACTGTTATCGCCACTGCTTATCCTTGAGAGGACGGCGACATAAAATGACACAGCGATTCCTGAATGAGACACTTAGAAATGAGAGGCATTCCTCAACATTTGCTTAGCCCATTGTCTGCCTGAGCTAGTGGAAGACTTTGTAAAAAAAAAACTAAATACAGATTTCTATGTCGCCTTTGTCGCCTGCTTTGCATTCTTCATTCCATTGCAGCACTTTTCTGCTATGGTATCAGTTCAAAGGAGGATATAGGAACTGCCTTGAAACACACACATAAACACACATTTTCCCTGTGTGTGTAGGTGAAACTTCAGCCGTGAGCGCTGAACGCTCCTCTTCGCTCAGGCAGGGATCACAGGTATATATAAATCATTTGGTGGCATCTTAACATGTTTAAACGGCTGTCAGCGTTTCACGGCCGTCCTCTGGGGAGAAAACACCCCTGATAGCGTGTTGTGTTCATCTGAGAGCTGATGTGTTGCCATGCTATATACCATGAGCTAGCAGGAGACCACTGCTGCCACCGCCACTCTCTCTGGAATGTTAGCAAGCGCGCGCGCGCGCGTGTGTGTGTGTGTGTGTGTGTGTGTGTGTGTGTGTGTGTGTTTCTGTTCCTCCTGGCTTTGTTTGTTGTGTTCACTGATGCAGGCTGCTTTGTGTGTGTGTGTGTGTGTGTGTGTGTGTGTGTGTGTGTGTGTTCAGCGGTTTGATGATAGTTACACACTGCCCTCTAGTGTTGTCAGCTGTAAACAAAAGACGAAAACTCCTCCATCCCCTCTACTCCCTCCCTCTGTTCGTGGTCCATGAGGGGCAGCAGTGTAGGTCTTCCTTAGCTGAAATGAGTGTTGTGTTGGGGGCAGGGGGGTTGCGTTGATGGGCTTGTGGTACTGTGCCAAGCTGTTATCTCCTTAGCCGGGTAGAAAATGATTTTATTAATTGCTTCATTTAACGCTCCGGGTTCCCCCCCCCTCCTCCCTTCCTTCTTCTTCGTCTTCCCCCCTTTTCTACCCGTATACACAAACAGTGTCGTGCAACCGCACTCGCTCACACACATTCCAAGCAAGCAACTTTTCAGACTCGCCCCGCGCGTACACCTCTTTCCCTCTGCCTCGTTCAGCAGGGACCTGCAGAGAGAACAGTGCGGCCATAAAGGCCATATGCTGGCCCATTCAGATGTAATAGCAGGAAGGCCCAGGGAGACCCAGCCAGAGGAGCAATGCTCCATTATGGCACATTAGAAGAACAGGAGAATGAGTGTGGAGGGAAAGTGTGTATTTACTACATTGCAGTGACAACATGTGTTCACATAGCCTGAACCAAAGGGAGATAGCTTCAGTTTCAGGACAAAAAAAAGTCTCCCTCTTAACATAAAGTTTTACATTTTAGACGTACTTGTGTTTAAAGTATGCCTTTGTTGAGGTCATGGTTAAATAAGGCTTCAAAAATGAAGTTAATTTAACTCAATGTTCTCCTAAAGAACATAATCCAAGCATCATGTGTGTGTTTGTGTTTAGTGGAGAAGCAGACTGCTGCAGCTGGATCTGTGCAGCCAAACCCTGCAGGGGTGTCTTGTTAGACACACACACACACGCTCAGATGCGTGCACACACACTCTCAGACTGGCACATCAACAACAATAACCTCTGAGGTCAGACAGAGCTAGCGCAACATTAGCCCCAGCGTGAACCTGCTGAGAGACAGAGCGAGCCAGTACAGCTGGTGTTAACCAACCAAAACATGCACACACACACACACACACACACACGTACACACACACACACACACACACACACACACACACACACACACACACACACACACACACACACACACACACACACACACACACACACACACACACACACACATACACACACAGAGGCAGAAGAACAACAGTAGCAGAGTTACAAACATCATATCTGTGAACACTGTGTTTGCTACTAAATAAAAAAATTCCAGATTCCAGATCATTGATCTGCTGCTTGGTATGTTGTTGTTTAATAAGTGGTTATTATGACTATGAGTTGAGGGGCAACCCCACAATTCAACAAGGCATGTCTATGTCTTATATTAAATCCATGAATTAATGCTTATATAAACTGCTATTTGTTTTTATGAGCATGTACAACTTCATCTCTCCCGCCAAAACCACCACTCGCTTACGGCATACCTGGCAGCTGTCTTTGGGAACACATGAATTTCACGCTGTCAGTCAGGCATGTTTATTTTCCCACTGTGGCAGCACCCAGAGGTTCCTGGTGTTCGGCTCTGTCGGCACTTCACGGTCCCAGCCATGACAGCAGAGCAGTCACACAGAGAGGGTGGCACAGCGGGCAGTGTTGAAAAAGGGAGGAGGAGACAGAGGGGAGTGTAGAGGAAGAGAGAGGGAGACACACAACAAGAGAGTTAAAGGGAGACTTTGAGGGAGAAAGGAGACAGTCCGTTACTATTAAAAAAGCTTAACTCTTAAAGCCAATAGATGAAGAATTAAAACATTTAAAATTTGGCATCCATTTGCCATGACTGGCAGTGACCCACACTGACCCAACATGCACGGGAGCACTCAAAACTGGTTAATTGGAGCACATTAGTCTGCGTCAATTTTTTAATAGACTATGTTTTCCCAAAATAAACCTTTAATGAAGATGTTATAGTCTCATCAAGTTCATACAGGTAGTGGCTTTAAGTCATGAATTGGACAGAATGGTAAGTATCTGCTATTTGAGGCTGATTCAATTTGATATATTTTGGTATTAGACTGTTTGTAAGATGTATCTATTTCAATTCTATATATTATTTGAGTTATTTATGATCAATGAACATATTAGAAATCAAATGCAAAATTAAATACTGAGTCATCAATTCCAGCCTTACCATGTTTCCATTTCCATTTGTTTGCATGGAAAAGTGAACGCAAACATTTAGTTATACCTGAAGAGCAGAGTTTTGCTGAGTGTGTGTTTCTAAGATAATGTTCCTGTAAGTAATCCCCTAATCCTTTAGCTTTTCACTGTTATGTTAGATACTCACCTGTTGAAGTAGAAGCCCACTTCACCACACACACACACACACACACACACACACACACACACGTGTAAGCCAGCACACACTCCGCACCTGAGAGGGAAGCATTCTGCTTTCACCTGTTAAAAAAAGAGAGATTTCATATTGACACTCGTTGTTGCTCGGTTGCACAACTTTAAACACACATACACACACACCTGAAATGTTACCTGATAGGTGAGAGCTTGACGGAGGCTCTGGCAGACTCCGGTAGATAAGCCCGTTCTGGCAGTGGGTGGTCCCTCTTTCTAAGTATTGATGTTCAGGTGGTAACAGTTCTCTGCTGGAGCAGCTGCTGCTGGAGTCAGACGAGGTTACTGTAAAAGAAAAACAAAACAGGCAAAGAGGTCAAGGTCTACACAGTCTTCTGATTCTTCATTCACTTTAATGTACTTGCACAGCGTATGCTCTGATAGACTAACGTCAGAGGCAGATGATTCCCTCCCAAAGTGATACCACTGACTGAGAATCGTCGCGCCAGGCTGGATGATTTCAGTTCTTTTCAATCAAGGATTCATTCTTCTGTTTTGCTACAATCATGTTTGATTGGGTTGAAATATTTGGCAGTTCTATGAAGAGTAAAATACCAAAATAAAGCTTGCTTTGGCCATGTCTGTAGACCACAAAGCAGCACTGCTGTCAAACTGAATTAGGAAACACCCTGGTGAAACTGTGGCAAAAAAAAGGCAATTTAAAGTCTAGACTTCTTGAATTGATCTGACCTCATCCTGGCAGTTAGCAAGTCTTGTACATAAAAGCCACTGTGGCCCTCTGCAAATAAAAATGACAAAACTTCTCAAATGTAGAGATAGAAACCATAAAAACCAATTGGATAGGATAGGTGCACTCTAGTTACACATAAGAAATAGGACATGCTATAATTACTCTTCAGTTGTAATGCAATTAAAGCTGCTCCATTGTGTATTTAGTATTTGAATCTTTTTGACAATATTCTTCCACAGAGATAATTTGCTCCAAATACCTCTTTACACAATAATCTGACATAGAGAAGCATAATCACATCATTGGATTTGGCCTTCTGGTCATTGTCTATATCAGTCAAACATGTTCTTTTTAGCTCCAGTTTGTTGAAGTACCTCTGAGGACATAACTTTATTTACCTGGTGGTCTCTAAGCAGTCATTGTTTCTTTTTTCCCTCTTCCATGTCTTGCTGGTCATTATCACACCTTCATACCATAACCATCTATCCTGACTTAAAATATGTTTTATTGTCTCAGATGTTCAGCTGTGATGAAAAAGCATCAAACCTGCACATGGCTGTTGATTCGTAGCTTATTCAAATCATAGGATGAAAAACTGGATTCTGCAATATACCGCCAGAAACATTTTTAACAATCTAGGTTCAAATGTTGTGAGAATGTGCTTCGTAAGATTTACCTTTTTAATGAAATTTAAACTTGTTTTATGTTCAGTTAAGCCAAATTCTACAATTTTCATTCCACTACTTCTATTTGTTATGAGACTGGTCACAGAGACACTGTTTCTGGAAAAAGAAATTGCTGGAACCCTGGATTTTAAAAATGTCAACATCAGCATGCTTAATAAAAGAAGTCCAAAGTGAAAAATGTATTTGTTTGTTTGTTGTTTAAGTGAAACAAGCCTCTAAATGTTATAACCCCTTACAGAACTTTCGGGGAAAAGGGGAAGCGTTTATTTTTTCTCAGAATATTTCAGGGAATTTTTCTTAAAAATTCTTAAATTAAATAGGATAGTTGAAGAGAGACAGGATTTCTTTGGAAGGCAGAGTGAGGGATGCCCTGCACTAAATAGTTGTTGATTTGGGGTTGAACCAGCGACCAGTGCAAGGAGGACTGTAGCCTCTGTACTTGGGGCCCCTGCTCTACCCAATAAGCTAAACCAGGGCCCTTCATGCATTAAATAATAATACTAAAGTATTCTTCAGAAGCCGGTTTTAATCAAGAACAAAAACATTTTTGTGTTGCATAATTTTGACACCTTTTTGAACTTTCTTCACCAGGGTCCTCCAGGATCTCAGCCCTCCCCCCACACGCAGCCTCCCCCACACAACCCTAGTAACCCCATGATGGGACCTCATGGACAGGTAAGACGCAAACATTTACACTCTTTCCTCATCCGCTGTGTTTTTGTCTAGTCACTGACTCGCTCGCTCACACAACAACAGTGTACACAAAGCACACGAGTCTCTTGTGCTAACAGGCAGGACAGGCAGCATCCATGATGGTTGGTTGGATAAATAATTTAGCTGTGTTGGCCCAGCTGCAAGGAGCCGAGGTGCATCTGGAGGGCCTTCTCACTCCCTCAGCCCTGCACTCACCATCCCATAGTCCATCAATAGAGCATTAATATTGCAGCAGAGCCTGACATAGTGCAGCTCTTCGTGCACAAACGCACCACAACATGGTTAAAGGAGGAGAGGAGAAAGAGACGAGGGAAAGGTAGATAGGAAAGAAGGAGAGATGGAGGAAGGGGGAAAAGAAAACAGTAGTAAGTTGTTCTTTCCTTAAGGAATAACAAGGATTATATAACTTGTCCTCTGCTTGCCCCAAACACACACACACACACATGCATAATTACCACTGTAATCCAGTCTCCTGTTGTACTTGTGTTGTCTGCTCTTATCTCTGTATGAAGATGATGATATGAACATTATTCTGCGGTTCATGCTCCGTGACCGAAACACACAACTCTTACACAATCAGCATTCTAATCAGCGTGTTTCCCCTGACGCTAAAATAGTTGGATTGAGTTTTGAATCCATTTTTATCATGTGACACACTGTCTCACTGGATGTGTGGGTTTGTAGTTGCAGGAGCGTAGGTAATTCTGAAAATGTGTATTGGGAGCTGTGCATTATTTATGAGTTGTGCACTGGGTCTGGATGTGGGTCTCAGTTTTAGTCCATGCTCTGCTGAAACATCTGGGTAAATGGCACCCTCATTTTCTGAAAATGAAACCCACACATGCACAGCTGCAAAAAAAACATGCACACATTGAAATTAGAAAACAAAAGTCCTCACATCCATTATGTTATTTTCTTGTTCCTCCGGCTCTGACACGTGTTGTTTTTCCAATCCAGGTGTCTTTCCTGCATGTACTCTCCCTCTTATCCGTCCTCTTTTACCTTCATCCTAATGGATTTAACCACCTGAGGTCTTACTTTCCAAACTTAACTACAGGCCCCTCCTCTTAAAGAAATGTAACACAACTACTACAGTACATTGTTCTTAAACACAATAGCTCCCCCTGCTGACATACAAAGAGAACACCTAAAACAAGGCCAAGTTACATACGTAGTAAGTGTTTTTGAAGCCTTTTGTGCCTTTTGTCACTATGCACAAATATGAGAGGGCAGTTGGCCTTTCATCTGAGGCTAATTCACTTTTTGAGAAAACATCTGTGTATTATACAAATTAAATCCACTTCATAGAAAATGGACCAGGATTAAAGGATTCTGGTTATTAAGCTGTATGTGTAAAGTACATACACTGTGCTAATAATGACAATGGTACACTGATACATTTACACTGTAGTGTTTGCTGCACTTTAGAAGTAATGCATTTGTGTATTAATTCTATCTCTGTTGATTGCCTTTGATGGTTAGTTAAATGATTTTTGCTGCATTTATTTCACAAACCATTCTACACAGTAACATTGTTTGTATAATTAATTTTCATCAAATGTTGTGTAATAGAACAAACCTAATTAATTCTTCATTACAACTATCATTAGTGAAAATGATTCACTTTCGTAATTGATTTCATTCATTTTAGTTGTTGCTTATTCAATATGATGTACTTCAAAAAAAGAAATTTCATTTTCTAACAAGTAATCCTGTCCTGATCGTCATTAAATAAAGGAATCGTTGTCCTTCTCTTGTCCTTCCTACAGCCCTTTATGTCTCCACGGTACCCGGGCGGCCCCAGGCCCTCCCTCCGTATGCCAAATCAGCCTCCTGGGAGCATCCCAGGGTCACAGCCCCTCCTGCCAAACAGCTTGGACCCCACTAGACCTCAAGGTATGGACAAACAAGTGGTGTTATTTCAGAGAGGCTGCAGTTTTCCGCTCTGCAAAGTAATCTTATATTGGCCTCTGAACAAGAACGCTCTCTCCTCATTTAAAGAACCATTATTGATCTAAAAAGAGCTGCCATAACAAGCTGCGCTCTGTGTGTGTGTGTGTGTGTGTGTGTGTGTGTGTGTGTGTGTGTGTGTGTGTGTGTGTGTGTGTGTGTGTGTGTGTGTGTGTGTGTGTCACCACAGGACATCCAAACATGGGAGGTCCAATGAGAATGAATCCCCCTCGAGGCATGGGAGGCATGGGTCCACAGGTAGGTAACACTTTTATTACTCAAACAGTCCTTAAGAGTAAAACACACAGATCTGTAAATAAATCAGAGAAAGTTAGGACACTGGATGATGTCCTTCAGTAAAATCTGACACTGCCAGAAAGAAAAACTTGCTTATTGGATTGTCAGTTTATTAACAAAAACATTGTGTGGTTGCCCCTCATTAAGGTCTACCATAAAAGCAGCTATAATATCAAACCAGCTGGGGGGGAAATGCATGCAGATAATCCTGCTCTGCTGAAGACACATTTTGGTTCTGTCAGCCTTGTAATTTCACCACTAAATATCAGAAAGCTCGGATGATTAGCTTGGCTCTGACCAGCCCTTAGCCACTGCCAGCAGCCGTTCTACATGTTAAATCCTACTTGTCGACTCCCACCTTGGGGACAAACAGAGGCGGAAAACTCTGGCTGCTGAGCAAGCCGCCACCAACGAATTTTAAACTCAACACTGCTGCCAAGTTTGGCACTGTTGGTTTCCTTTTATCACTTTAATTTTTGTCGTTGTTATACATAAGATGCTTAAACAACAGTGTCTCTTTGAATTACTATTACCAGCCAGCTGCTTCATCATGCACCCAACCACCTACCGCTCCAACATCACCTCACACAAAGACACAAACACACACTCACACACTCACACACTCTCCCTGTGCCCCTCGGCCCCTCTCTGTGCCACCCTGGCTCGGTGACTTTGGCAGCTAGCGCACCAGCAGCTGGTGTGGCATCTGCTCGACAAGTGTAATCGTCTGCTGAACAAAACTCTTCATCTGAGTGAAGCTGCTCTCTGGCCTGCCCCCCTACTCTCTCCCTCTCTATATCTATTTCACACACACACACACACACACACACACACACACTAACACGCATTCAAACGCATCCACAGACATGTAAGTGTGCCAAACCTGCCTGCTGGGCAGCCAGGAAAGAATACATGCAAACACACAGAGGGGAGCATCCACACATAGAGACACACAACATATAGACATACACAAACACATTAATAGAGCTCAAACATCCCACAATTAAACAGTAGTTTGTGGGAGAAATGATGGTCGCTGGCCTTCATTAAGATTCAAACCTTTAGACGGAGCAGGTGTGAGATGGCATGCTGACTGTGTCTCTAATTTGCAGAACTACGGCGGAGGGATGAGACCCCCTCCAAACTCCATGGGGCCAGGGATGCCCGGCATGAACATGTGAGTTAATTGAAAGAAAGAAAAAAAAAAGATCAAATTGATTAAAATAAATATATGTTTTTATAATTTTGTTGCAAGAGAAAAACTAGTGATTAGGGTTGTTGTTGGTTTTTTTTTAACAAACAAAGATCTGTCTTGTTTTTTTTTAGCAATTTCTTTCAATGTTATTGACCCGTATTACAATATGCAAACATTACTCATAGGTTCTCAACATAAATGTTAACATGTGAAATTATTATTTTTTTTACATAAATAAATGGTAAATAAATAAGTGATGAGAAAACACACAGCCGCTTCATTAATGTAGAGATAAAAAAAAAACCAGTATGTAACAGAAAAATACTTTTTTTTCTCAAAATGTCACAGAAAGGTTTAGTTCAACAGTTCTATCACTTTTTCTCTAGTGTTGCTACTTGTTTGAGTAGTATTTAGTAGTATTTACTCACCATTCAGTATCTGAAAAGACGGGAAAATAAAGAGAACTTGGATCAGGATTTTGGTCTCTTAAAATATACATTCAAAGCTCCTGTGTTGAACCTTATTGTGTTGATTTTGGCGCCCCCTGTGGACAAATGGGAACCTCTTAGCTCTTGGCTGATCTTTTCTTGTACATTTACAAGTAGCACTATATCATGAAAAATCTCAGAGTGCTTTCTTTTAAACATCCAATGTATCGATCACTGTTAAACTTTGTTAGTAAACAATGTAAAGAACGGCTCTACAAAACCTCATCTGACACCTACAGTGGTTATAAACATTAAAAATACCTAAGTACAAAGTAATCGTTGTAAGTCCTGATAGTCTCAATTGCATAAAGACGCATCAGGCTTAATTTAAGTCTGTGTTTCAGAACCGGCTAAAAGATTCACTGTTGCTTTAAATGCACTAACTTGGCCCCACAGCTCAAGTGTCTTCTTTGCCAAATATTTTCTTTTACCTGTCTCTGTTTTTTTTACCCAGGGGCCCCGGTGGAAGAGGTCCATGGCCAAACCCCAACAGCAACTCAGTGAGTCACTCTCTCCTACACCTATATCTCCTACATGACTGACTCTGTTTATGATAACTGTGTCTCATGTTTTGTTTCACCTCGGGTCTTTTCTCTCCACAGATAACTTATTCATCTTCATCTCCAGGCAACTACGTGGTAAGTGTCCCATCATGGACTCGTGTTCCACCACAGGCCATAAATTACATGTCATGCAGTGATATCTTACCGGCACGCTGCCATCTGAAGTGCACTCAGAGCTCATTTCTCTTTTTTCTCTTCACCCCTCAGGGCCCTCCTGGGGGAGGCGGCCCACCAGGAACTCCCATCATGCCTAGCCCTGGAGGTGATTTATACACTCCTGTTTCTGGTTGATACTTTTATCTAGAATTCAGTGAAGAAAGGCTGTAGAAACATCAAACCTGATCTCTGTCAGAATCACACGTCTCTTTGGGAGGGGGAGAGATATGAAAGAGGATTCAAATAAGAAATTGAGCTTTTAGGTGTAAAAATGGTTCAATACTGCACTTAGCTTAATTTAGTATTTAATATGACTCAAGCTTGATGAAGAATTTGCTCCTGCATGTTTGTGTTGTTAGTTTTCCATTTAAGCCACATTCTGAGGCATATTCCACGACGCAGGATTTTCAGTTAGCGAGGTAACTTCAAGGATAACTTCAGTACTAAGAAGGTGGTTCACTTTTTTTCTGGAAAAGATCAACATGTTATGGAAACTTGTGCTGAACATCTATCCTCTTCCAGTTTATGATTTTGCAGCAGGTTATGTTTGGGTTAACAGATTAATTTGTACAAAAATGATCTACTTATGAGTTAGTTGTCTTAATCACAGAGGCCTATGAGCTAATCGAGAGAGGGAGTGGAACCGGCAAAAACATTGACTTTAATGTCTGATTTTTTTTACATGAAAGATATTCATGAAAAATATAAATTGTGCATTACTGACATAATCCTACGACAGAGACCGAACAAAGCACCAAAGCCTTGTAGTCTATTTGTTGTACTTGTATTATCTTTTTTTCCCATTTTTATTAGCTCCATAGCGCCCAGTTTGATCATGTCGAGGCTGCAGCTGAGACATCTAAAACTGTCAGACACGACTTAACAAAGACTTCTGAGCAATTACTTCATGTACTGGAATAAACTGGTGATATTGTCGTGAGATCTATGATGCACTAATGGTGGAAATTTATATTATTAGCCTTAATTTGTGTGTTCACACAGTCAGAGATTTTTATTTTTAAATTCCTTCATGCATGTTGCAAATGCAACCGTGTTGATTTCACAGAAACTTTTCGTGGACCTGTCACATTGATAACCAGCGTCGAGTGACTGCTTCATGTGATCTTTGTTAGGATTAGTGAAGCCAAGTAGCCGTCACCTGAGTACGTTGAGCTCATTTTATAGTACCGGCCTGGGGACAGCATTCTTTTGTTGTGAGCTCTGTGTTGTCTTTGTCAGTCTGTAATCAAACTAGTGATCCATCGCCGCCTTTACCCATCAAACTAGCGTCTCTGTAGAGGATTAGCTGAGAACAAAACATTTCTGGCAAATCTCTTGTAAATGTTCTGCTTCTGCTGGCCTGTGGAGAGCTTCTTTTTGTGTCCACTATTTATTATTTATATACATACCTCCATTGTGATACGTTGCCGGGGTAACCTTTTGCACAAAACGCTCCAGCTCACACGTACACTGGGAGGGGAAAACATATTTCCACTGCACTGTCGCCAAGACTGTGCACATACGTACATAGACACAAACCTACAAAAATTCATACATCGTTCTCAGTATTGCCTCCCTTCTCCTGTCACGACTACACAAGCTGGATTCAGGGACACTAACAGGCAAGACATCACTGCCCCGTTACTATATCCATATCCTCTTCAGTCTTTCTTTTATTTCCTATTTTTTCTCCTGCTATTGTTGGTCCTTCACATGCAACTTTTTGTCGACAATGTCAGATCAAGGTCACCTCATCCTTCTGAATCGTTTCAGGACAGACAGTCGGATGCACGGGAGCGATGCAGCTTGTTCAGGTTGTTGCTAAGTTGCCAGGCTGTCCACATAAGAACTCTGTCTAATCTCTTGATTGTAGGAAGAGGAGATAATGGGTTTCTTTTACTGCACAGTACAGAGAGAAACATGTAGAGTGATTGAGGGTCAGATTCACTGAAATCGTGTCCTGGCACTTAAAAGAGCATACAGGAAGTATCTGTCTTGTACAGATGAAATAAGACAACGTCTGGGCTGTGACTCAAAATGCATTGTATGAAATTAAACTGAAACTAAGTCAAATACCGTGAAAAATAGTGTCAATCCTGTCCCTCCTGTGCAGCTTTGCATAACCCAAACCCACTGTACATTTTCAATTTTTCAGAATATTTGGATATAAGAAGTCAGAGATAACTGTGTCTGTGATATCTGTTTCTATTTGAGAGTCAGACAAACAACAAAACAAACTGCTTTACAGTATCCTACTGCTCCTCGTTCACAGATTCAACAAACTCAAGTGAAAACATCTACACAATGATGAACCCAATTGGCCCTGGTGGAAATAGACCTAATGTAAGTAATACATGTTAAGCAGCTTTAAATGACAATCAATAACTACAGCATGGGACCTTATTTGATTTTTGTGCCTAAAAATATACTTCTTTGTCATGCTATCTAACTTCACTATTTTTCTTCAGTTCCCAATGGGACCAGGTCCTGATGGGCCCATGGGTGGAATGGGTGCAATGGAGCAGCATCATATGAATGGATCACTAGGTGAGAAGACAAAGATAGAGTAACATTTGATATGATCTAATGAGTACACTGAGGGAAACCTGTTACTTTCTTTGAATGAAGGTGATTAGAGGGAAGACTCTGCCCTCTTATGGCCTTGTAGGGGAAGTGTTGTTCTTCCTCCTTTGAATAAGGCTAAAACAGCTCAGTGGAGCAGTGAGAAGGCCAATTGATCCCTGGATGTTGGATCAGTTAGGCTGGTGCTCATCTGTATCCGAAACAAATAGCTTAATTAAAAGCCATTACATGTGAGAGGGAAGGCTTGTACGTACTGAACATGTAGGATTAGCAGCTAACCTTTACCTCATAATGATTTCTCCCTTTTCTATTTGTGATCACAGGCTCTGGTGACATGGACGGGTTGCCAAAGGTAAGACTTGCCTTCAGTCTGTTTGTGTATTTGTCTCTATGTAAGAAGATCTGTGCTCTTATTTTTTTCATGTGTGTTGTAGAATTCTCCCAACAACATGGCGGGCATGAACAATCCTCCCGGCACTCCACGGGACGATGGCGAGATGGCAGGCAACTTTTTAAACCCATTCCAAAGTGAAAGTGTAAGTATAGAATGAACTATAACACTTAAGCTGGGACTACTTGAAGACTATATAAAATCATATTCAGCTTGGACAAGGGAAAAATCAGAAATTGAATCACTTCATTCTGTAGATTACTGTTGAATCTGCACAGAAGATGGAAGGATGGAGGAAAAATGTCATTCATCTAGCTTAATAGATATAATTATAGATCAAGAAATTCAATTCCTTTTTTGTGTGTGCTCATTTGACCTTGAGCAAGTGTGGAGAAACGTAGCCCTTCCCTATATGGCTTGAATCAAACTAAAAGTCAGACTTTGTATGGGTGTCGAAGTTTGTCTCTTGGACCAAGCTTGTCTACATAAATTGTATGGCTTTTAGGAAATGTATCATTTAAAAGGTCAGAGAAAGTTCTGCTATGAGTTTACAAACACAAAACACTTTTTATAGTGTAAAATCCCAGAGCTTTGATGCTTTGGCATCTTATCTTGCACTAAGGATAAAATCAGGGCTGGCCTTAACCTACTGACCAGTAGTGAAAAATCTCACTCTGTAAAAACTGCATGCGCTCTTTGCAGCACATGAGTTCAAAAAAAATCATTCAAAACCAGGCTTAAAACCATGCTGATAGTCAGTCATTTTAGTCCAGTTTTCCCAGCTTTATCAAACATACAAAAAACACAGCATGCACAAACACCGGCATGGAAACAGACCGCATCATATGCTTTCTCTGATGCATGGAGAGATTGTCATAAAGTGATTAATATGAGACTGACATTTTGCTACATTGTCTTTACTTTGATCTGACATTCCTTAACATTTTCTCCTTGGGCTGGACTCTGCTTTGCTTGCTGCTGGTTTACTGACGTAGAAAAAAAAAGGAAAGGGTTAAGGGTTATGTTTAATGTATGCTGCAGAAGGAGTTTAGTCAGTTGAACTACTCTTATCTTGTACTCAGAAGTATAAGAAGTTTAACATAGTTTTCGCTTATCTTTTCCCCCCTCCCTTTCTTTTTTCTCTCTTTACAGTATTCACCCAACATGACGATGAGTGTGTGATTTTTTTATTTTATTTTTTATTTTATTTTATTTCTTTTTCATCTCCCCTTATCCCAATCTTCCTTTCACCATCCAACCCTGGTGCGTCTTGCATTACCCTCCTTCCTCCTCCTCTTCCTCCTCCTCCTTGTGTACGGTGTGCTGTGCCACACAGCCCCTGGGGATGCCCCTGGACAGCAGGATTCCCCTCAAGGCCCCCCACCCCAATGCCTGTAAAATGGGTGTAAGAACATGAAGAGGCCGCCACGCAACAGGATGGGTCTTATCTTCTTGGCTTCTCATCGCCTGCCGGGCCTCGACACGGGTCCTAGGACAGCAAGAGCCCCGGAACTGCTCACAGCCTGTCTCTCCTAAAACCCAAAGCCTGCGCCCATTGGTGGCATTCAAACCCAGTCCAACTGCCCATTGCATCAACCAACGCTCCTATAAATCATGCTGATCATAACTTATGAGGGCATGCAGTTGTTGACTGACAGAGGTCAAAAAACTCTCATTCAAAAACTCTTCTCCTTTGACGGGAATAGTTTATAAAAAAGGAAAAGAAAAAGATGAACTGATAAAGTTATTTTAGGACAAGAATGGTTTTCATTAAATGTTTGTATTTTTTGTTTTATGATAGTAATATTATTGTTATAATTTTCATAATTGATATTATTCTACTAATGTAGTTATGGTTTCCTTTAAAGGGCACATTTAATCTCAGCAGCAGCATCAACAATGACAGAATAAGCACACACTCGAAAAATGCACAATGATTTTCTGTTTACATGATTATAGGTTTTATTGTTGTTTGTTTTTGCTTTTGTGTCAGTGGGTTTCACTTCTCATACTTCTCCTTTAAACTTCCTCAGTACCTGTAGCTCGAGTGTTTGCCATTTAAATGATTGTAGCACCAGTTCAAAACTTTGAAGACTGATTGGGATAATCGGAGTAGAATATTCCGAGAGGTTTATAATCCCGGTTTAAACTATCCACACATTACAAACAGGCTGTTCTGGTACAAAGTGTCTGCTGATGATGGTATGTCTTGCTATCTTGTCTTAAAAAAAAGCCTCATTCTCACAGCTTTCTATGTTTATATTGTCTAGAAGTGGCTCAGGGGCCAGTTCTCTTTCAGTCACAGACAGAGCAAGAGAGCATCTCTTCCGTGCATTTTTGTCTCGTCTGTAAATATTACATATTTAGCTTGTATTGTAGTTATTTTATTATTTGTTATTTACAAGTTGTCTGTGAATCCCAAAAAAACGTGGTTCCTTCCCTTTCATCACTGCTGACTCCAAGCGGCATTGCTTTACCTCCCAGGATGCATTCTGGTCTCCTTTTGGACTCTGTATATGTTGTGGGACGTCAGATTCACTCGAGCCTATTTGGAGCCTATTTTCTTGCTTCGAGCCGAAGTCAATGTGGGATCCACTTTGAGACTGACTGAATAACTGCATCCTTGGGGTTCACATCGACCAGTTCCTTCAGCGAGTCCTGTATAAACGGGATAATGGATCAGGGTATTGCTGGGCTGTAGCAGCACTGATGATGGGTGCAGATGATGCACCTCGAGGGGGGAACTGACCATGCAGCCTCGTCGGTCTCAAGAAGAGGAACTATTATGGGATACTTTTTTAAAGGATATATGTCCATTTTTTGTGGCTTGTTTCAGCAGATTGTTTTTAATTAAAAACTATTCAAATGAATAAAAGGAAAGCCCATAGAATCTGCACACAAAGAGAAGCATAGTGACATATCACGCTATTTAATTTGTCTCTCTCTGTACGTTATGTGCTCTCTGTCACTGTTTCAAAGGGGTTAATGGTCGCTTGAGGTATCACACTGCAGCACTTCTGTGTTCAAACCAACAATAATTAAAAAACCATTGTAGCCTCTCTGGGTGATGGTGATATACTTATCAATTTTCTGATATCAATGTGAACAGTTTGTACCTAACAGGGACGTCTCCAGGATTTGGCTGTGGGTTGCCTGGGAAACACTTTTCTCTCATGTTTTCCTTCGGTGTAGTGACACACGCCTCCCCCTCTTTCCTCCTTATCCCATTCCCCAAAACTTCTCCCTCTCTTCTCTTTAATTTCCTATTTTTTTGTAAATACTGTATAATGCATTTTGATATCATTGACATGTTTTGATATGTCAGTCACTACCAATGAATACAGCTGAAAGTAAATTATAAATAAATCTGTCCATGTTTTTCATAGAGAACGGATGCGCTGACTATTTGGCTCATGTGGCTAAAATTTCCATAAAAATGTATAGAATACAGTTACACAATAAATGCAGACTGTATGCTAAAGATTTGTATGTTAGGGAGGATAGGACAGAGAGAGGACAGGACAGAGAGAAGCAAACAAACTGTGGCGTCCTCGCTCTGCCCTTGTCTCCTTATATCTTAGTTCAATATTGCTATTGGCTTTCAATAATTATTTCGAACCATTTTTCCAAAGGGCATCGTCTCACAAAAAACATGTGACCTCTTATTGCAGTTTTTATTATGAAGGATTTTTATCGATTTAAGAAAAACTTTTAAAAAGGTAAAAATACTTATGAGAACCTCATTTTAAATTAAGAATAGATCAAAAAGTAATTGTGTCTTTTGCTATTCGCTCCTGTTATAGCGTTGTATAGATTGAAGCTCTCTCACTGATCCTCTCTCAGTCCTCTGTGTATATCGATCGTTGGCCATCTCTGTACTTCTATTGTGATGTATAATACTGTACCATTAGAAAGATTTGCTGGTCGGGTGGGGTGGTTATGTTGAGTCGGGGAGGGATGGGGGACTCAGGGGAATGGGAAATGAATGACTGTCCTGTACCGTTCATGGCCCTTTCCGATGACACGGCAGTATTCAATATGAAGCAGTCTGTCTCTGGGGTTTGCTTTGTATTTACATGGTTGGATAGTTCAGAAACTTGTCTTAGGGACTTAGGTGTCTTGTGTAGGTAATAAAGATGTTCTTTGTATGTTTCTTTATATTGTAAAGTTTCTTTAGACTGAAAGAAAAACCGATAATTTGCTTATCAAAAAGAAACAATGCATCAATAATAAATGTCATTTGATTTTTCCTTGTTGTTTGACTCTCTTCCATTTTGCTTTTCACCTCCACTTACAAAAAGAGAAGTTCTACACAAAGCAGGTATAATCACATTAGCCTGAAATGTAAATAATGACAATTTAAGCATCGGCATGATGTATGATGAACCTCAAGGGACTTCCTCTTACTAAATGGTTGAAAAGGATAGAATTGCACAAACTATGGCTTTTCCGCCTACTTTTACACACAGCTGACAAAAAGACAATGATTCAGTTTTGTTTTAGGCAACATGAAACTTGATCCTTCAGATCTGGTTTAGTTTAATCCACAATCCATGATTCTGCCTCCAATTTTGAATTAGTGATAAGCTATTCTATTTCAAGCGATTATAACTTCAAATAAAAGATCAGAACTAAATCATTGGCAATTTATTTATTTATTTGGTTTAGCCAGTACCTAAGTGGCAATTACTGTTCCCGGGGTCCACGCATACATACAAACAAAAACAATAGTGTCATTCTTGTGAGACAATGGCGAAATAATGAATAAATTTGGAAATTGATCTACTAAATGTTGCTTTAAAATAACTAAAAAGAAAAAATGACTGTATTTGATTTCACTGTTTCTGAATTAAAGAGCTATCCGATACAGTATCACCCAGCACATTCTGACTTCTAACCTTTTTTTTTTTTTTTTAAACTAGAAAATAAGGACAGAGAAGGATAACCTTTCGACCGTAAGAAACAAAGTGTAATTCCACATGGTGCCTCTAGGGTCAAACATTAATGTACAACAAAGGGACCAATAGATGTCCAGTAGCTCAAGGTTAACAGGAAGCAGTCGGTTGGGGTGAGCTAGGACCGCGACGAAGTCAGTTTGATGTTGTGTCAATAACAGAACGGTGAGGTTCTATTGGTCTACGCACACCAACAGCAAACCGACTTCACCACTGTGAATTGGAGGGGAGATTGTCCAGGACCAAAACAAGCCTCTGCATAGAAAGTGGTAGAAGGTAATGTTCTGTTAATTTTGATAAGTGGGCCTTTAACATGTGACACTCTGACGAGGTCACTTTATCTGAAGTCGATATAAACAGTGGTTTTATTAAGGACAAAATAAAAAAAGGTTGATGTGCGAGCCATAGCAAAGATTACAGCTAACGCTAGTTTGCTTCAGGAGTTTCCTCTGCTAGCGCCTGTTAGCATGCCACTGCTAGCCGCTTGAGAAGAAAGCAGGCGGGGGGGGGATAACTTGTCAAAAAACTTCTGGAAATGTTTGGCTAGCATGGTAGCTGATCGCTAAAAGAAACTATCGTAGCAAACAGTGTCATGTGAGTGAAACATGTAATCATTTTTTGTTGACATTGACGTATAGGCCACTCAGTTCTAGATGTTTAATATGGCTGTCGTTTTGATGTTTATAAGTTCACAGATATGATCGAGCAGCCGATTCATCCGTGAATTGGAATATCAACAAGGTTGCATTTAAAAAAAAAAGGTTAATCTTGTGTCTTAGCAGCCTCTACTAATGACCGACAAAGAGGAGACTATGGAGGTTTCTGACAGTCCGCCATCAGAGAAGAAGAATGGACGAACCTCGTTGCTGGACAGCGGGGAAGACTTTGAGGTGGTAGATGAAGAAGACATTGACGACGACCCCCCTCCTCTGGAAGATGCCGGTGGTGGGAAGGGCAAACACGCAGATGAATCTGAAAAGGAAAAAGAGGAGACAGGTCCCTCTGCCCCTGTGGAGGAGTGGCTGGATGTATTAGGTGGGTAACGAATTGTTAAGATAGTTGCAGAAAACAATCTCTACTTGGTCACATCGCTGACTGGGTGACACTCTATTAAAATCCACACACTATCCCCTTGTTAAACAATAAGCCGAAAGAGTTTGCTTTGCAGCCATTAAACACTGATCAGCACTCGACTGATAATAACACGATTGTTTTGTGTCCAGGTAATGATCAGCTGAAGAAAAAAGTCCTGGAAGATGGAGAAGGGAGAGACAGTCGACCACAGAAAGGACAAAATGTTAGGATCAATCTTAAAACATCCCTGACAGATGGGAAACTTGTAGAGGAGCAGCATGACCTCTCTTTCACTCTTGGAGATGGAGATGTTATTCAGGTAAAAATGGACAGTTTGAGATACTTCCTGAATTGGCAAGACTTATCAAGAGGTCACCCTGTTTTCAGTATTTGGGTTTATGTTGTATATATCATAAGGCTTTGTTGTCCTTTCAGGCTCTGGATCTCTCAGTGCAGCTCATGGAAAAGGGGGAGAAGGCCCTGATTCAGACTGATGCAAAATATGCATATGGTGCTCGGGGCAGGTAGATACATGTTTTAATTTAACTGATAAAGGATTCATACATTTAAGCTTTCATGGAAACGAAGGAATCTAAATCCCCAAGAAAGATCCAATGTCAAATGTATCTTTTATTTTCAGATTGTTTTACAAAAAAATATTTCCCTCGTGAAATCTAGTGATTGAAGTTTCTTGATTTCTTTAACTGTCAAACTTTTTGCCAAAGCTCAGTTTCTTCCTCTTTCCAGCTATGAACCTGAGATTCCCCCAAATGCTCCGCTGTGCCTAGAAGTGGAACTGAAGGAAGCTACTGATGCCCCAGACCTGGAAATGCTGCCCCCAGCAGAAAAGATTGCACTTGCTAGCCATAAGCGGGAGAAGGGCAACGTTCATTATCAGCGTGGAGATTATGCCTTTGCAGTCAACTCTTATAGCATTGCCCTGCAGGTAGCAGAGTCTAGCTCTAAAGGTGAGAGGCAGGTCAGGGGGTCAGGGCGGAAGAAAACCCCTGAAAACTTTGGTTAGTGGTTATTGACCAGGTTGGGAAGCACTGCAATCACAGAGTTAATGCTTTTATTGTGATAATGCATTTTTGAACATTTGAGATTCACCACAAAAACAAGACTACTTTTTATCAAATCTATCTGACATCAATGTAATTGATCTCACTTACATTGATCTTGCCTTACAGTGTGGCAAGCGGATGATTTATATATTTAAAAGATTACTTTTTTCTTTTTTTTTTTTACAGTTGACATCAATCCTGAGGAGGAAAATGAGCTGATTGATGTAAAAGTGAAATGTTTAAACAACATGGCAGCCTCTCAGCTGAAACTGGACCACTATGATGCAGCACTCAAATCTTGTGTCTCAGCACTGGCACACCAGCCAGACAACATAAAAGCCCTTTTCCGCATGGGCAAGGTAAACTTTTCTTAAATCTTTTTTACCTGGCCCTTTTTTTCAGTGGAATGTCTTAATCTATAATTGTGTTTTTTCCCTCAAGGTACTAGCTTTGCAAGGGGAATACACAGAAGCCATTCAAACTTTGAGGAGAGCACTAAAGTTGGAACCCAGCAATAAGGTACCTTTGTTTTACTTATAGTACATTTTTGTACTACATTTGTGTACTAAAAGTGTCTGCTAAGTGAATTGTAGAATTGTAAAACGTGGCTTGATGTATGGGGAAATGTTCTTCCTTATGGCCAGTAGATGGTGCTATAGGATAAGAATTCCAATAAGTTTGTAATGCAAGGTCAGGTGGGCTGCTGATTCATCATTATAGAGGATCTGTTTCCATGTTGTGGCTGTAAATAGGTCGGCCTGAACCCCAGCAATATCTTATACCTAGCCACTGTTACTGTTCTACTGTTCAGAGGGGCAGGAGTTTGAGGTTCTTTTGCTATAGAAGGCCATCTGACAGAATTGGTCATAGTGTGTGGGATTCTTGGATCAGCTGTGTGCTGCAGACGGATGGTGCTCATGCCTAGAACCCCCACACCAATCTGTCAAACAGCACATGGCCTGGCCACCACTTTATCTTCACATCCAACACTTACTGTGAAGAGACAATCGACTAATTCATGTACCAAGAAAAGATATGATATCAGGATCAAAAATACTTGAATATCCATGGGTGGAATTTGGTCGTTACAGTTGCTCATATACACAATATAATATATAGGTGTATTATAAATAGAATATGAATCAAATGACCAGTCTAAAAGGAGATACTTAAGGAGATACCATGTCACTGCTTAAGCCTGAGATGACAGAGTAAGAAAAGAAACAACTACATTAGTACTGGAGAATCCTCCTGCTTCCTAAAAGTCATTAGTGTGACTACATATGCCTACCTGGTGAAACTTGAAAGTCAGTTCAATTTATGTTAAAGTTATCAGTATATCTATTTGCATGGCAAATGAAAATGATTGTTCTACTATTGTTACCGTTTTTAGGAGCAGCCCTGCATACTGCTGTAACCCAACCTTGCAAACTGCGTATGAGTTTGAGAAGCCTTGTGTTTGCACATGTCTAACAGGGAAATTATGTATATTTTCTAAGGCATTATTTGAGTTATCCCAACAGAATATCCTTGTTCTATAGCTGCTTTTATTGCTTAATGAAAGTGTAAATCATAATGGAATTAAACCACGACTGTGATGTCCAATTTTCTGACATTCCTGTGAAGTACAACAATGCATGCTATAGATTATTGGTAGTATTGGGACGATCCATAATTATCAACCTTGTGTTCATTTATCTATGTGCCAACGGGTACTTCCAAGCGGTGTCTTATAGGTTCTTACTATAAGGGAGAACCTTTCATTCTAACAGCAAGAACTGAGCCTGCGTGTCAGTGACAATACCAGAATGCTGCCCGTATAATCAAAAAGCCAGTCTCATACAGGCACAGGTTTCATAGACTGACAGGATGAAAAAGCCATCGCTCTCTTCTCTAGGCACTGACAGACATGCTGTCTACATTGTTTTACACTGATGTCAGCTGTTTACGCCCACTATCATTTCCTCAAATGGATGAGAGGAGATTTATTTGTCTGGGGTTTTGTTTACTTATGACTTGGTAATGCAGACTTGACAGTTCCAGTTCAGACAGCCTCAAACTGTCTCATCGCTGTGTTTGGGCACACGGTTTATGTTAGGACAGGGTATATGTAACATATTTGTTTAGCCTACTTTATCCTCACCCTGGGGACAAGTCAGTGTTGTGTATTTTTGTCATTTCAATGTGTAGTTGATTGCAGAATATTGGTGCCAACTTGCCCTGGGTTCTCTGTTCAAACACAGGGCTGTGAATGTAACAGACTTACTCCTTACGTTAGATAGGAACCCTCATGTCTTTGAGGAAAACAACTTGAACAGACACTAACTGATTCTGCCCGAACATGTTTAATCATAAGTTTTTTTTTACAATCATTAACCAGTTTCCTTAACGCTGACCAACATAGCTTACAAGCACCAATTAATAGAGCCTCATTCTCTGGTTCATGTCCTACCTCAGGGGGATCCTTTAGAGTATCTTAGAAGGGAGAATCTTCCAAACACAAAAGTTTATCCTCAGGGATGCCTCAAGGATCAGTGCTCGATCCCCTTCTCTTCTCAATTCATCACCTAACTTGGTGTAGTCATCTGCTCCCTCAGTGTCTCATACCATTGCAATGCTGACAATACCCAGCTCTATCTGTCTGTCATTCACTCATAATGACATTTTTGTCTGCCCGAGTTTGGTCATGCCTTGCTGATATCTCTACATGGATTAAAGAACCCCAGCCTATCCAAAAATATGCTCCTTGTCATCCTCCAGCCAGTCCCTCTTTACAATCACAGATAAATATCCAACCAAACTCATGCTCACAGAGCTTTGGGGCAGCAAAGCTCAACGTCATGATTGATGACCAGCCAAACTTAAAGGTTCACGTGGCCACGATTGCCTGGATGTGTCTATATGATCTGCACGTCTTCAGTAAGATCAGACCCTACCTGTCAGAGAATGCAACACACAGCTCCTGGTACAGGCTCTTATAATATCACACATTGGCTACTGTAACTCCTCACTGGCAGGTCTTCTTGCATGCACACTCAGTTACCAAACTCTATTCAATCTGCAGAGTCCTTTTCCGTTTTTAGGAAAAGTCTAAAAACCCAGCTCTTACATGAATACCAACGCACTTAAAGATATTGATGCTACTAATGATTATAATACTGAGGATGGTGTTGATAAGAATATACATGACCATGATGATATTGATGACAAAGCTGTTGATGTTATTGTTGATCCTGTTCACTGCCTGTCGGCACCTGTGTCTGATCTAACTTGAAGCTGTTTGTTGGTACTTCCTTCATTCTAGGTCCTTGCTTGTGTTGTACATATAAGCGTCTGCTTAAAGAAATTGTAACATTGTCACTGTAATAGTGTTCATTTCTATAAAGGTGGGAGTGTGCCCAAAATGACAATATTAAGTGTACATTTGTGGTAGCTGAATATTTTAGTTGTCTCTGAAAGCACTGGTTTGCTTAGTCACTCACCAGATCTAAATGACTCATATCTTAGACCGTGATGAAACAATAGCTGAACCATTATCCGAGAAGCATGTGGACATGTTGGCTCCATCAAACAATCATTCTGTGATGCAATTTCTTTTAAGGAAACAAGGATTGACATACCATTTATCCCGGAAATGTTTTCTTGTGTTGGATCAATGCCTTATGTTTTTCAGGCCACTTGGTGGCTGCTTGTGTTATGAGGGTATATTGTCATCTTGACAATCCTAAAATGAAGAATATCAGACTGTAAAGTGTCCAAATGTTGTTTTCTTTGTTGTAATAGCTGTTAGTATAGATTAAATATTGAACTGCCTATTTGTCTTGTTTCTACTTTATAGACCATCCACGCAGAGCTCTCCAAGCTGGTGAAGAAAAACTCAGAGCAGAGAGGAGCAGAGCAGGCCATGTATAAAAAGATGCTGGGTAACCCTACCAGTGGCAGCAGCACACAGAAACACAGAGCCAAGTCTTCATGGGTGAGAAAGTCATCCCTTAAAAAAAAACAAAAAAAACAACCACATGCGTTTTAGTGAAATGTCTGTCCATGATCACATGACTAGAGCTGATATGTTTGTTAGAGTCAAAGGAACCTTTGTGTAATGAATAAGGAGTCTCAGTCATATATCAAAAGGTTAAATCTAATATTGCTTGACCTTTTTTAATGTGTAATGATAAAATCCAACCAACTAAACATTTACTCTCTACTTGTGTTACTTTCTCTTTCCCCAGGGTCTCAGCTGGAAGTGGCTGTTTGGTGCCACTGCTGTAGCCATTGGTGGTGTAGCGTTGTCCGTTGTCATAGCTGCTAGAAATTAACCAAACTTTCCTGACCAAGCTGCTACAATGTGAGAGAAGAAACACAGAAGCACATCATCTGAATGTGGGCCAAAGGGGGTAAAAATGTCAGATGGTCAGTTGCTTCCTCACTGTCACTCTCTTTTCTCTGCTATGTTTGAGAACTGTGTGACTAATAATAAAACATCAATATTTGCATATGAACACTGTTCTCACTTAAAGAACATTAAGGTTTATGCATATATATACGTATATATATATAAGGATGCCAGACACTGTTTTCTTCTGCTGCCATTGTATTTGTCTTTGGTAGATAATGATTGTTTGCATTAAATGAAAAATAGTTTACCATAGATTCAGATAGAGGGAGTTGAAATGTTAATTTTCCGATTCAAAATAGCTATGTTTTTCTGTTTTATATTATGCTATAGTTTAAAAGCAAAATATTGTACAGTTAATTTATAATTTCCCATAAAGAAAATGTAATTTCACTTTTTCTCTTTACACTACAATGTTTTATGTTTTCTGGCTTAATGAAGATGCTTTTTTTTTTACTTTGCCTGTTGTTCTCGCTTTAACAACCTCTCTATAACCATCACATATAACCTGCCAGACCAGACAAAAAACACCCAAACAATGTTATACAGTACAGCAGACAGATATTTTGAACCTGTAACTAAAATTGTATCCACTTTCTAAATGTACACAAAGGAAAATAAATTACAAGAACAACCTCACAACAATATAGTTAAGCAAATGCGCTGCCTCAAAGGGTAATGACAATCAGACACAGCCTAAACAACAAAACTGTTTCATACATAAACATGACGGTGTGTATTTGATTTCAATTCATAGCTGGAGGTTGAGGGAGCACTGCTGTGATTTGGTCATGGCCTCAAGCCAAAGATAATCACAGCAGGGCTAATATTCAGAACGACATCTCGACTTAAAGCTCGATATTGCTTTTATACAACAGTTATACTACCAGCACATTAGAAAATAACAGAAAACATTAGAAAATAACTACATAATTTTTTTTGGCTCCATTAACTCAACTAGTTCCACATCTCAACTATAATCCGACTTGTTGCCAATCAACCCAACAATCTACTGCAGTCATGCTACTTTGTTTGTGTCCATGGTTGCTTCTGGCCAGCAATATATTTTGTGTACATTTATCTGTATGCTTTTATTGATCATGCTGCAAGAGAAATAAGAGTCTATTTTGTGATTCAGAAGTACCGGCTTCATAAATCAGGACAAACTCTGTCTGCTCTAATGTTTACTTGTGGTATTCATAACATCTGGTGATACACAAAAGTCACAGTGATGTTGTTCTCTACTGACTCATTGAATTCCTCTTGTCCAATCAAAATACTCGGTCGGAACTAGCAGTCATATAATCCTGGTTAATCATGAATATATACAAAGCAGAATCAGCTAGATTTACTTTATTTTCAACATTTGTTCTATAACTAGTTTCTTGTTGACAGAGATGCAGTTACCTGTGCACTCACAGATAATGGTTCATAGAGTATTTTTCCAGTAATGTGGCTGTTAAATATGCTGAAGTATGCTTTATTTTAATTATTAAATCTTAGTCATTATTACCTCAATTATTGATGATTGAGACCAAATGTTGAAGGCAGTCCCTTCAGGTCCAAGTTTGGGTTTGTATATTTTTTTCTTTCCCCTTCTTTTTCACCGGTGTAGTTTTCCTTTGATTATTATCCCTTATGTGTTTATTTATTTCACAGTTTTTGATTATTGCTTTCTAAATAACAATTAATATGTTGCCAACAAATATCTGGCTCCTTCAGAGTACATGAAAGTTCCACGGACCAAAATGTCACTTTAACTCTTAACTGAATGAAAAATGAAGTGTTCATTGCATATCCTGGCATTCCCAGCATTTGTTGGTTTTATAAAACAATAAAATGTATCACACTTAAGTTTATTTTCTGGATTGTGTCATCATTTCTCATAATGTAATTTTTGTGCCTCATTGACAAGGTTTCCATTGATTTTTTTTTTTTTTTTTTAAACCTTCCTTCTCTGAAATCTGAATATCTTGCAGTGGTCTTGGTACAACTTATAATAAAAACGGCTCTGCTGCTTTTATGTCTGGACTAAGTTAAAAATATCAGTGTGCTTCAATATGAGACATCTTTCATTGGAATTTTTTAAAATCATAAATGTGTTGTAACTTCATAAAGCAATCATATTTTCAAGGAAACAACACAGCTATGCCTTTAATATACTCGGCGTTTACATTTATCGTGTTTGATTTGTTCAGATCAGGACATTCCCAAATGATGTTTTGGATATTCCCCCAACTAGTTAGTTTTTTTTTTTTTTTTCAGACATTGACGTTTCACTGACGTAATCGGATGACCTATCGTTTCCCCTCTTCCTACGCATTACCGACGTGCAGTGCTAATTCTGAAATGCTCTGTGGAATTAATACACAATACTTTCACCCTTTAGTCTCTATTTAAAAAAAAAAAAAAAAAAAAAAAAAAAAGAACATGAAAACCACGAATACACACATTGCCTGTGAGAAAATCACGTGCTGTGTCAAAGGAGGCGAAGTTAAAAGATTTAGTTTTAAAAATTAAGTTTCTACTTTTAACAGCCCCTTTAACAGTAATTTGATGGATTTTTTTTTTTTATATATATATATATATGTATATATATATGTATGTATATATATATAAAATTGTGACGTGTTTACTGTCGTGTAGGGTAGTTTTCTCTCTCGTATAGATGTGTCTCTGCTGAGTGACTTCATCATCAGTGACCGGTCACTGAATATTCATTGAAAAGCAACGGGAGATCTCGCTTTACGACAGAGTGCGTCCGTGCGCGTGGTGGGAACGGTAGCAAGATGGCGGCGCTGAAGGAGGAGCAGTGCTACGGACTGTCCTGTGGAAGAGTCAGCAACGGCAGCAATGTCTCCGTGTTTCACGTGAAACTCACTGACAGCGCGCTGAAAGCGTTTGAAGGCTATCAGAGCGGCAAGGTAAATGGCCTTTTTCCAGTACCGCGACATTTTAGATATGATTTGATAGTGTGTGTGTGTGTGTGTGTGTGTGTGTGTGTGTGTGTGTGTGTGTGTGTGTGTGTGTGTGTGTGTGTGTGTGTGTGTGTGTGTGTGTGTGTGTGTGTGTCAGTGACAGGCAGAGTGAGGTCAGTTCCCCCCTCTCAGTCTGCTGCTGCTGCCTTCATGCTGTGATACACACACACACACACACACACACACACACACACACACACACACACAGCACCCTCACACAGGCTGCTTAGTTTGGTTTCAAAGTGTCTACTTTAGCTGCTCTCAGCTGGTCAGGCTGTCTGCTGGTGGATGTAGCTGTTTGGTAGCTACACCCAGACTCACCACCGAGTGTTAAAATCGTCCTCAGTCCTTTAGCGAGCTGTCTGCTCGGTGCTACTGGAAACAAAACAGAGCCTTTTGGTAGTTATTTCCTTTTTTTTTGTTTTGTTTTTTTAAAGGGGGGGGTTTGCTTTTTAGTTTGCGCAACAGTTTAAACTCGGCTCTGTTGATACACTGTCTTAACAAATTACTATGACGACCTTAAAAAATGTTAACCAAAAATACGAAGTAACTTTTGTTGTGTGTACATAATGTTTCCAGAAAGTTTGTTAAGCTGTCAAAAAAATAATTCTAGCGGCTGCGATCATTTCATGTTAAAGGGTCATGATAGTGTGAATATAAGCCCTGACTTTTGTCTTTTTCGGTTGTTAACTCTGGGGAAAGACCTTTTTCTTTTTTTTTCTTTTTTAAAGACGAGAATTGCATGACAACACCGTGAATAGTGTGGAAAAGTACCCAGTATTCGTGTTCAAGATGTCCATCTCCTTTCCCAACCCCCCCCCCCCCACTGTCACCAAAAGGCTCATGTTCATTTGATAGCTTTAAAGGTGCGTCGAAGTGATTTAACAGTATAACAGGTTTTAGTGTCTATTCTTGTTCGGGGGAAAAGGTGAAATTCTACTTGTAATCATTAAAATCTTACTCCTGCTCCTGGTGCTTCTTGTAGCTTCTGGTCTAGATAAATAGCCTAAGTCTGTTGATGGCCATCTAACATTTCAGCTTCTATAAATATTTGACAGGGAAAACCTTGGAGGCCAGCAGGACAGGGCCGTATCTCAAGCTTCTGTTGCTGTGTGCACTGCAGCGGGCCTTTAGCTAATAAGCCTGAACAATACAATTTTCACAGGTAATTCAGGGACTACTAGGTGTAGACCCAATGTATGACACACAGGATATGTTTGAAATATATAGAGCACACCCCTGTGACTCAAGAAATATTGCTACAGGAGAGCAGTGACTTCATCTCTTTAAGTTTTTAAAGGGCCTTTGCTTTTGATGGAAGTAGTCTGTGGTCAGATTATGCAATATGTTTTGAGAAATAATTTTCTGTTTGTTGTTGAGCATTTCAACATTGTCTTGTTTGTGCTTTTGTATTCGTGGGAAAATAATGGTAGGGCTAGGCCAATATGGGATTTTGTGGCCGATATCAATGTCGGGGAGTATAAAAATCCTATATATATATATATATATATATATATATATGTTTTAAGAAAGAGAGAGATATATATATATATGTGTTAAATCTGTAGAGATAGATATCTATACACATTTCCTGCGTTGATCCCTTAATTTGCAGTTATCAAACACTAGTGGAAAAAATATACAGTACATCATGGACAAGATGGTCTTTTAACTTGAAAGTTACTGCGCATGTACGTGCGTCACCACTTGACACTCTGGAGAGTGATAATGCTTTTTGTAATCCATATTCATAGCTTTCAGTCACGTGACCAGCGCAGAGGGCAAATAATGCTCAGGAAAGTAACGGCCACCGTTGAAAACACTGTTGAACTGCAGCACAGGCTTTTAATTTGACATCTCCTATGTTTACATCACCTAACAACCAAAGTAAAACTGAGATTTTAAGATAAACTGTAAGTTTGGGGCACTTGTGATACTTTAACAGCACACAGTGACGGGACACTATTTATATTGTTAGAAACGGCAAAGTCCATGCCGGTGTTACGGTTAAAAGAGTGACCATGTTAACTGGTGACTGTCAGCTGAGTGAGTCTGGTTGTCGGATTATATATAATCTGTGCTCATCTAACTTGCATAGCTAACAATCTTAAATTACCTTACAGTACGTTTTATCATCGTAGGTCTGGCACACACTAAGAGAAAATATTTGTAAAATGTGAGAGAGCCCTCACATGACGACAATCATGACACGTTAAACAGTTCGGTTCTTATAGTGTCGTGTGCAACGAGATGCCCAACTCAGCAGAACACACACTAAGGATTCATTCACCATCAACCAGAGTCTGTACTATCTAAACGCGGTCAAACGTGATTTAAGACTAAACAACCATGATGATGGTCAAGCTAAATGTGGCTAGCTGGTACATCCATTATGGTAAACATTTTGGTCAAACTAGTTTCCTTGTCAGTTGGATTGTGGTTAGTTTTACAGGTCATGTTGTATAAACATTGTGCTGTTGACAGAAAACAACAAGTTGGTCCTTAATTTATATCGTCCATCTAACTCTATGCTTCGCGTTTGCTGTTGTCGCCATGTTAAATTTTTGTTAGGCTTCCTGCTTTAGTCAGCTTGCCTACTGATTGGCTCTTTTTTTTCGTTCCATGTGACAACTCATAGAGTCCGTACTCGGCCATCCTCGGTGTTGTCCCCACAAAACAGGATATCCGATCGTAAATATCAAACACATTTAATATTTACGATTTCAAATCAGTGCGGCCTCGACCGTCTTCTGAGCAGATCGGGGAGGTTAAAATCACATTTAACACACCTCACACCACAGCAGACTCTGGCAAGGTAATTTTTGGAACCATCAGAAAATCAGGCATGTGCTGTCTTTGGTCGGAAGGATTATCTTGTGTACGCTTAACTCCTGCTAGCTCATGTCAATTTTGATTTGTTTTTTCATGAGGAGTCAGGTTAAAACAGGGTTAGCTGTCTAAGCATCATGGTCTCTGCAGAGTTATATTGGGCAGTGCTCACCTTAAGGAGAATCATTTTCCCCCATCTTAAGCACCATTCTTCTATTTCTTCAAAGTCATGTTTTTTTCTAATATAATTTATGGCTTGTGCTTTATTAAACTATTCAAAAGTTGACAAGAACATCTAAACAAAGTCCCTGTCTACTTGATTTTTATGCTACAGCTTACTTGCCAATTGAAGCTGCATTGCTCAATGTATGCTTACTGTATCACCTTTTCTCTGTTATTTGAGTTAAAAACCCGTAATCATGGTTTGACCAGTTCTAGGCCATTGTGTAAAAGGTGTCTGTATGTTGTAGCAGTGTTAGCTTGGTTTGTGGTAGTTTCAGAGCCGCATGGGGGATACAAAAATATGCTGTACCATCTTTTTTTACTTTTCATTTTAACATTCTATTCTTAATTACCTTCTGCATCAAACAGACATCAGTGATATACGGCACAACTAAACAGGCACTGTTAGCATGACTTTAAGAGCTCTTATTGTGGCCTAGTCTCACTGTCTTCACAGTCAAACGAGGAGCTTACATCAAACCACTTTTCTGGCAGAAAGAGATCATGCATAGGTGTGCCGCTTGTCTGAATCATATTAGCTGTATCTATAAACTTAACATTTCATGCAAACAAACGTCTTCTCAGTGAGCTTCACCCACAAGAGTTCAGAGCCGTGCTTATTTAAAAGTAGCACACTGAAATTCAAAGACAACAATGAAAGCCTTACAACTTAACCAAGCAGTCGTGCAAATATACATTTCGCCGTCAACTTACACTTAAAACATGTGCACAAACAAAGGTTTACACAAAATATATTTCCATGTTTTTTATAGAAAAAAATGTGTTCAGATTTCTATCAGTTTGTTACATGATACATTTAACATGAACTC